TTGAGCTTTTTGTTTTCAACCATCTTCTTCTTTTCTTCTAACTCATCAATCAGTTTCTCTTTAGCCCATTCTTCTTCTCTTCAAATTCTTTCACTGAAGCTTTCCTCTCTTTAACATAATTTCTTTCCACTTGTTCAGTTTTCAGCTGCAGGAAGAGTTGTGTGAGTCCTATTCTCTCTTTGTACTACTGATCTAGTTTTTTTTTTCTTTTACATTCTCTTCTGATATTCCTGTAATGTACCTTCCTGAAGTTGTTGCAATTCCCTTTTTTAAAAAAATTTTTTATTGTGATTTGTGTGAAAGTTTACAGAGCAAATTCATCTTCCATACAGCAGTTCATTTACACTTTATCTCATGACATTGACTGAAATCTCCCATAATGCAATAGCTCTCCTCCCACTTCCTCCCCACAGCAACTCTTCCCTGTGTCCTTCCCTCCCTGCACTTTTGCCTCCTGAGCTGTCTCCTTGTACATAAACAACCCTTTATTCTCCCATGATTGATCTCTCCAAGGAGTGTATCTACCTAATGTAAATGCTCAGCTCATATACCTATCTTTTGTTTGGCTGGAAGCCATAGGAATGGGTTCGATTCCAGACCTGAAGAGCAGCTAGGGGCCATAGTCTCAGGGATTTTACCAGGCTTTATCAGGGAGCTCTGGTAGCATAGTGCCTAAGGCACTTGACTGCTAACCAGAAGGCTGGCGGTTCAAAACCACCAGTCACTCCTCCGAAGGAAGAAAGGGAAATCTACTTCCGTAGTGATACCACCTCGGAAACCCAAGGAGGAGTCTCTATGAGTCAAGAGCACATAACAACAACAACAATCAGACCAGCAAACCTGGTCCTTTTTTTCTTTTTTTTTTTTTTGTGATTTTGAGTTTTGTTCCACATTGTTCTCTCACTCTATCCAGGATCTCCTACATAGATCCACCTCCAAGTGGTTGACAGTGGTAGCCAGGCACCATCTTGTTCTTCTGGTCTCATAGTTATATAGACTGAGGATCACATCGTGTCCCAGTCTCTTGCACTAATTATTTCCATGTGTCTTTGGTTTTCTTCATTCTTCTTTGCTCTGGATGAGGAGAGACCCATCATTGCATCTAGATGGCCACTGGCAAGCTTTTAAGATCCCAGTCGCTACTCGCCAAAGATGTAGAATAATGTTTTTGTGTAGCATACTACTGTAGCATAACTACTGTTATGCCAATTGAGCTCGATGTCCCCTGCAACCATGGTCCTGAGCCCACAGGTCCAACTACTTACTCCCTCCAGGTAGCAGGCTATGGTCAAGAAGAGACTACAACTTTGTCCCTTGTCAGCTCTACTATATACCTGGAAATTCATACAGAACATACAAATACACTTGTACAAATATTGTCTGCCAACCCTATACATGGTCATGGGCAGATCCCTCCTCTGCATAGACACACTTAATCATTCAGTCTGTCCACCCATTTATCTATCTGTATATCACTGTTTGCCATCACTGACAATGCAGTACTATAGGTGCAAAAGGGCTCCTCTTTGTTGTCTCTATCTCCCATGCACCTCTGTATGTCTTCCTCTTCCTCAATGCCACTGTGTTGATCACTCACATTTGGTACATTGCCCTTCCCTTCACCCAAATCAATACTTGTTTCTACCGATCTAACTGTGCTTCCTGCTCTCCCTCCCACCTCTGGTGACCAACAAAGAAAATTCCTTCTATATATAAACCTTTCCTTGATTTTTTATAATAATGGACTAACACAATAGCTGCCCTTATATGATTGACTTATTTCACTCAGCATAATGTCTTCCAAGTATGTGGTGTTTTGCAGATTCTATGTTATTCTTTAAGGTTGCATAGTATTCCATTGTGTGTATGTACCATAGTTTGGTTATCTATTCTTCTGTTGATGGGCACCTAGGTTGCTTCCATCATTTTTCTATTGTAAATAGTGCTGCAATGAATATGGGTGTGCATACATCTGTTCTTATCCTGGCTCTCACTTTAGGACATATACCTTGTAATGGAATTCCTGGGACAAATGTTATTTCTAATTCCAACTTTGTAAGGAATCATCATACTGCTTTCCACAATGGTTGTATCATTTGACAGTCCCGCCAGCAGCGTACGAGAGTCCCAATCTCTCCACATCCTCGCTAGCATTTGTTATTTCTGTCTTGTTGAATTTTGCTACTAGTGCTGGAGCAAGATGCTATTTTGTTGTTTTGATTTGCATCTCTCTAATGGCTAACGAGGAGCTCTGGTAGTGTAGTGCTTAAGGCACTTGACTGCTAACCAGAAGGCTGGCGGTTCAAACCC